TGCTCTCGGACGAGCGTCTTTATCAGCATAGCTATCCGGGCATGCGGTGGAGGGTGAAGCGGTAGAGTGGGCAAGAACCTCCTACCTCCATCAGAGTAGCCAGAGGGTGACAACAGAGTGACTTTCCCCTCCCATTCCCAAATGAGATCTGACTTCCTCCTAGAGAACTAGAGCAGCGCCTGCATCAATGACGAGAAAGGTTTCAACAACCTCTCATACCATTCACAATTTTACAGTCATTCAGCTAGTTTGAACCTCGTAGGAGTTGTACATCCCTCGCTGGAGGCCAAAGAACTCCTCCACCCAGGCCATCATGCCCGAGAGGGAGTCATAGAAGAAGGCAACCAGCCCATCAATAGCATCATGCTAGTTCCATTCGCTCCAGCCATGCATCAGCCTTGAGGCCATCATCTAGCACGCATGGCACCCCAGCCTATAGCGCCGGGAGAACTGGCGCGACTGCAGATGAAGAGCCAGCCTCTTTATCATGCTGCGACGCTGGAGGGGAGCTGGGAAGAGCGGTCCTCGCCCGATCTAGCTTCGCCTCAGCGACAAAGACCACTAGATGAGGACCCAGTCCGATGGCGTCAGAACCCTCCGGGTGCACGGTGACCTCATCGGCTGACCCTTCCTCGATGGTGTCCTGATCCACGGCCACACTTTCAGAGGTGCATACAAGGGCATCCTCGCCCACTTAGCGCACCAATAGCAAACGGCAGCGCACTTGCAACATGAGCTCCCAGGGGAATGCCCCCGCCTCACCTGGAGCCTCCGCCCTAAGATGTTCCCTGCATTGAGCGGGAATGCGACCGGTCAATAAATACATGGGCACAGAACAACAGCAATCAAGCAGACAAGAGCTCTTACCTGCTGCCAGAAAGGAGCCTAAGAGCAGAGCGCCTCTTCTGCTAGGACGCGCTCACCCCGGACGAGTTCGAACAGGGGCGTTTCCCGATGGCTAGGGCGGAGGGTGTTTCCCCATGAGACGGACATGGAGACGTGCCACCCGGCGGTGGGGAAGAGCTACGAGATCTCTCCTCCTCATGTCCTCTAGGACTAGGGGAACAGAGATCGTCCCTAGGAATGGGAGGTCATCAAGCCTCGGATCGAACACCGAGAACGGAGCCAGGCCACCGTCGAGCGGTGACTCCCCTAACATGGGCCCAAGCACCATCCACATCAACCCGGTCAAGGACTCCTATGGGAGATGACCATCGGCCCCACGCGCACCCGCTGTCAAAACAAAAAAAATCCCTCGCTGTCAAAACAAAAAACTCCCCAGACGATTCTACCCGAATCGCCCGGGGGCTCGAGGACTACACCTGCGGGTGCGCTCGTGCGCACCCACTATCAAAACAAAAAAAACTCTAGACAATTCTACCTGAATCGCCTAGGGGCTTGGGGGCTCATGTCGGGTTCATAAACCCGGGGTCCCTAATGGGCCTGCTTCACAGCAAAAGCTCGGCCCAGTAGACGACGTTGCGAACGACGCGCAACTCCTGGGCCGGCCCAAGTGGCTAACGATAGGCCTAAAGAGCGATCCAGTCTCAGTCTGGAAGGCCTGGCCAAGAAGGGACGGTGCTCGCTTCTGACTCCGACCGAAAGGCCTGGCCAGGAAGGGATGGTGCTCGCTTCCGACTCCGACCCGCTTCTCCGATCGGAAGGCCTGGCCAGGAAGGGACGGTGCTCGCTTCTGACTCTGGCCCGCTTCTCTGATCAAAAGGCCTGGCCAGGGAGGGCGACGCTCGCTTCCGACGCCGACCCGCCTCTTCGACCGGAAGGCCTGGCCAAGGAGGGCGACTCTCGCTTCTGACTCCGACCCACCTCTCCAACCGAAAGGCCTAGCCAAGGAGGGACGACGCTTGCTTCCAACTCTAACTCGCTTCTCCGACCGAGAGTACATCGGACCTCTGCTTACAGCTCTTCTCCGACTGTCGCGGTCGGAGCTGACTGGGAAACAACCGAACGGGGACGCCCGCTTGGTAAGGACCCAAAGAATCAGGCAGAGTAAGTAAGGCAGGGCGCTAAAATCAAACTGCAATACCGAGGACCGTACCCTACACACCTACAGGACAGTACTATCAAATCATATCAGAAGGATACTATATAACCTTCCAGACATGTCAGAACACCAGCGGTGTTGTGGCCGCCTTCATTTAACCTACAGTATGGTAGGCACCAACATTTGCCGTACCAGAAGAACACGGTGGAACCAACCACATGCATCCAAGCCATCAACAGTATTGTGGGCGCCGACAAACCGTCTCGTATCCGACGGCGTGGGCAACAAGACTAGATAGCACACACTCCCTCGCTCTTACTTGTAAGGCCATCCCCTTTATCTATAAAAGGGGATGCGCTCTCTCCTAAAAGGGAACGATTCGAACACCCAGAGGATCGATTCGGGCAGTTGATTCCGATTCTCTCCGCTTGGCTCTAAAACTCTAAAAGCTAGACAGAGCATACGTTCGAACATATAGCGCACGTCGGAGCTCCCATCACTCTTGGCCCTTCGGTTCGGAGTTCGACCGGAACTCTGATATCCCTCATCTTACTCTCTCTCGTTTGTAATCCCACAGCAAACTTCGAGCATCTGGGCTCAGGAATAAAGTCACCGACCGACTCAAACTGGACGTAGGGTACGTTGCCTGAACCCGTATAAACCCTGTGTCATTGAGTGCTAGGCCACATCCGATCACAACGTACGGCAAAACTACAAATATTTACGTATTGGTCACTTTTCGCACCGACACATACCTACGTCCACGTGCCCGCGCTGCGTCGACGTTGTCGCTGGTTGCCAAGCTTGGATCCCAATCATCCAATTCGGTCCATCCTGGTGTGTCCACGATTGGCAATTTTGTTTGCTTGTTTTGTAATAATTTTTTCTTTGCTTTCGAATTTCTAAATGCTAAATCGATTAGGATGGTATAAACTTTGTTACAAACTATATCAGAGGTATGTTTGAAATAAACTTTCTTGCAAAGTTGTATTACTCGGTCAAAGGACTTAAAACGATAACCAATTGATGGATTCATATAGTATATAATATATAAAAAACCACCAGATTTTATTTATAATAAGCTTGTATAAGCATACACACCAAAGACCAAACTACAAAATAAGAATTTGTTTTTAGAGTTTTAGGGCCATAGCCCCTGCCTTTCCATTAACATCGAAAGGCATAAATTCATTAAAGCATTCGGGTGATATAACACCAGTAGAAAAAACCAAGTAACCAGCTGACCACTCACCCAACTAAAGAGAACAACCACACACCTAGGAACAACTACAACATCCGAAACGATACTGAACCTCTCATCAGAAACAGGCACCAACAACTACAACACCTGCAGATTAAGCAAAATTATTGGGTTGATGAAGCCAGCATTGAATGTAGAGAGTTCCTCCTCGATCAGGCTCCCTCCAGGTCAGACTTTCGCCAATTTGGTAGCCAAAGCAGCATCACCGATCTTGTCTTTGGCTCTTGGATCTAACTAAATGTTGAAAGCAGCAGCTAACTCTAACCACATTTGTTTGGCTACAACACATTTAAAGAAGAGATGATTTACTGTCTCCAATTCACAACAAAAAAAGGCAAGAGGTATCCTCAACTTTTCTTCTTTTACTAAGATTGTCTCTAGTAAGCACTTTATTTTTAGATAACAACCAAAGGAAGCACTGCACTCTGGGTGGAATCTTTAGACTCCAAATAGCTGAGACAAAAATAGGCTTTATACCTCTAACAACCATATAAAGGGATAGAAAAGAGTAAATCCAATTCGAAGTGAACTGCCACACCGAAGAGTCTTCTTCAGAGAAATTAATGGTTGAGGCTAACTGAACAACCTCCCACCACTGTTCCTCCAAATTACTATATACTGTTCGCGTAAAGGTGCATTTGAGATTCTCTCCATCCCAAATCTCTGCCATAGTCATATTTTTCTCATTAACTATCCTGTATAGCTTCCAGTACTGAATAGCTAAACTGGAGGATCCCAACCAATTGTACTCCCAAAACCTAACCTTAGTACGTACCACTACCTATCCTCCAACAGTAGCCCATTCTTGCCACTTACATGAAGCTCCCTCAGTCCTAGTCTGAAGAATATTAGGATTACAAGTGTTGTAATCAAGCTCATCTCTATCTACTGTCTATCTCTTAAGCCAAGAAGCCAACATGCAAATGTTTAAATCCCTAAGATTAGGGATGCCTAGACCACCATACTCTATACACATATATAGCAACTATTTACCAGTTGACAAGGTGGTACCTACTATTTACCATATATGAGAATTCAGCAACTGAATAGCCCATTTAAGGAACTCACGAAAAGAAAGAATGTAAACCGGAATACTAGCTAGACAAGTTTTAATCACAACAACTCTAGCGCTTTCAGTTGATGGATGATAAGCACCATATTTCATCTCGTCTCAGACGTGGCACGTACTATACGCTGCAATAACAACAACGTACGGCGAAGCTGTATTGTAATGTAACCGACGTTGAATCGGAGAAGGAATAAGGAAGAAAATCTCGAGGCAGTACGATCCAATGTCCTTCATTTTCCGGCCCATTTTTGTCATAGTCTCAAAGAAAGAAGAGAGAGTGATAGGTGGTGTCACATGCATAGGGCTTAATTTGCACGCATCGCACGATTGCACGCGCGCTTGCATTGCACCTACAAATCGAAGTCGACATCGAGCTAGCTGCTCGCTCCTCCACTCGTTTCCACATAAACAAAACCCATCACGATCGCGCGCTGATGCTCGCCGCGTCACGTACCATCGGGCGGCGGCGACGACGACGACGACTACACGCAACGCAACACACCTCGCATTTATTTTCAGAGCGGCCGCCCATATATTCTCCTCCGATATATAGCGTGCACCCTCTCGCTCTCCACACTGACCCTCCCCACAACCTTAGCTTAGCTTGCTGCACAGTGCTGTCGATCTGATCAATACCGCAACGCTGTTCATCGACTGGTAATCCATCCATGGCGGCGGCGATGACGACGCCAGTGGAGAAGGAGGTGGTCGTTGATCGGGTGGTGTTCGCGTTGAACGGGCAGCGGTACGAGGTGGCCGGAGTCGACCCGTCCACGAGGCTGCTGGAGTTCATCCGCACCCAGACGCCCTTCAAGGGCCCCAAGCTCGGCTGCGGCGAAGGTATGTACGTACGGTGCGCGCGTGCTGGCTGGCTACCATAGTAGTATATTCTACTATGATTATAACTAATAATGATCAGTACAGCTAATGCTGACAATTAAGTGCGGATCTTCCCACTGTTTCTCATCTGCTTCTGCTTGAGGCCATCATGCATACAAAATTGTAGATTGCAATCGGATAGGACGTCTCATGGGTAGGCTAAAAATCATGTAACCACGCACCATCAATTTAATTAATAAACAAGTAAATTTGATTGTACGTATGATGGAAAAGTTATCTACCTGCAGTCAGCAACGGTTCTTTTCCTTCAAAAAACTTAAATAACAATATATATTAACAGATCTAAAACAAAGCAGCACATTCACCTGTTAGGAGGATGAGGGGGCGGATCTAGCGGTGGGGCGACTGCTCAAGCCCCTCCTAGCACCTCCATGACAATGGAGCCCCTCGTTAGCCTCTTCTAAGCTTTTATAGACATAAAAGAGAGAAAGAAAGGGCTCTAGAGGTGGAAGATGACTGTAGCTCCCTCTTTCATTAAATCCTTAGATCCGCCACTAGGTGGATGAACATGAAATTGAAGCACTAGGGCCCAACTAGTCCAAGGATGCGTTTGGTACCGCTCCTCGGCCAGTTCTCGAAGCAGTTTTTCGATGAAGCCAACCAACCGGGTTGAGGAGAAGCCGCTCTACACACAAAGTCCTATGTTTCCCGCTCTCTAGAATGGAAGGTTAGAGGGAGAGCTGAAAATACCAGCTTCTCCCGACTCCTGCTCCTGTGGTCCCAGAGAGGCAGCAGGGTTGATGATGGTGGCAACGACGTCCACAAGGAGGAGCTCTGGTCTTCACAGAATCGTTGCACAATGCAGTCGTTGGCATCGTAGAAGGAGCATAGGTGGACCACATCTCTGAAAGGGGATCTCTAGAAGGGGTGTGAGCTTTGCTGCCAGGCGCGTCAGTCCGCGTCAGGGACGATAGTGCCAGTCGCGATGGCCTCTACGGAGAGGACGAGCACAGGTCACGACGGCCTCCATGGGGAGGAGGAACCGTGTGGAGGTCAAGCGCGGAGATGGGGCCATGGCAAGAGCGCGAGGGAGATGCGACCGTAGGTGAGATAGAGAGGAGGGAGGAATAAAAGGATGGAGAAACAAAATGAAAATGAGCTCAATGACAAGTGGGTTTACGAGTCAAAATGAGGAGCTATTTTGCCAAACGTCTCTATAACAAGAGCGAACCTTTACCCAAATAAAGCTGCTTCAGCAAAGGTGGAGCCATCCGGAATCATTTAGCTGGAGTAGGAGGAGCTCTATATATCTAACGGGCTCTAAGAATGGCAGGACAACGATAGAAAGTGCACTAGAGCGGTAGCAGCCGTGGCATGCTCTAGATAGTAAGTAGTCCACCGTCCATTATTGACGTAGACTAATGGCCATGGCGCCCGATCTGATTGCATGACACGACGATGCAGCTCCCTTAACTTTCTTTCCAGGTACGGTTGGATGACTCATACTATAGATGCTAAGATGCATGTGTTGTGGACTTGCTGTTGCGGCAGCGGGAGCTATATTCATTTTAGGGCCAGGGTTATGGACGCAACCAGAAGACAATTCAAGCAACAGTTAGTGCATGTGTTTTATGTTAAAATTGTAGCTTTATTAGTTCGTAACAATTTTGTATACATAAATCTGTAATTTTCAGATCTAAGAATTAAAAATAAAACTATTCGGTAAAAATCTGATCTGTATTGGTATAAAAACAACTAACACACGATATGCATGGATGATCAATAACCCTATGCCGGGACGACGATGACTTGGGCTGAACAACAACCGCTGGCTAGACATACACACTAGGCACCGGCTCCACGCACGCAATCATGCATCATGCGTGTAAGCAGCAAGCAAGTCCCCGCTGCCACTAGCTCTTCAACCCTCAACGCCCATGATGTTGATCGGCCATATGGATAGCTAGCTAGCTGTTGAACAATCATGCATCATGCGTGTAAGCAACAAGCAAGTCCCATGATGTTGATCGGCCATATGGATAGCTAGCTAGCTGTTGAATAATGCTTGCTAATGCTAGGTCGTGGCTAGCTTGAGTGATATATATAAGATGTGTTGCAGTGGAGGCAGTGGCGGAACCAGGGGGCAGAGCAAGGGCCATGCCCCCCCCCCCCCCAAGCACAGTAGATTTTGTTTAATACCTATATAAATATTTAAATTTATAGCATAAAAATATCAATCTTCACCCATTTTTATTTAAATATTATGATTTTGGTATAAATAGTGTAAAAATATTTAAAAAGTTGTTGAAACATATAATTATATATATTTTATCACACTAAAAAATGCGTTCATATTTGTTTGCTCCCCCTTAATCAAAATCGCTGGTTCTGCCACTACGTTTTCAAAAAGAGTATAATTCTAGGTTGGAGTTAAGCCCAATTTACATCATGCTGTGGGAAAAATATTTTACCCGCTTTACAGCATGCCTTATGTTGTTATCATCGAGAAAATATTTTGTCCGAGTTCAAACAGCTACCGACGTACGATCGTGCTGTGGGTGATCATAAATGGTTGTGGTTGTGGTGGCTTGAGTATCAAATTAAACTATCTGCGGAGATAGCGATTGGGCTGTAGCAGTGTACTAGCACAGTACATGTGTGATTATGGCAGTGTAGCGACGTACGATATATATAGACCTGCCGTGGTCCAAACTCCATAGACGTGCAATAGTCGCCAATTCCTTTTTCCTTTTTTTTAATAGGGATGGTGCATGAGTCCCACGGTTATAAGAAAAACCAGTACTTTAGAAGGTAGAGTATTGCACCGCCATTGGTTTTGAACCTTTTTTTGCAAATAAACATAATAAATTAACCCTTTTAGTCTAGAGACAACTATAGTAAGAATGGTCTCAAAATCAACATTTTTAGCTGCCTCTAAAAATGTCCTCTATTTTATTTTTTTTAACCGTCGGCAGCAGAGCCTCTACTTTTTTTTTTCTTTTTTTAACCTAGCCTAGAAATTCGTCCCCCGTGGGGATTCTAACCTGGCTTGCTGGGGTGCTACCGAGGAGCTCGAACCGCTAGGCTGGAGGTCCGTTCGTAATGCCCTCTATTTTAGAGGTGTCTAAAAAAAGCAACCGCCCCTAGAAAATTCCTTTCTAATAAAGACAACTAACCACATCTATAAATAAATTTGTAGAAGCGGTTGGCAATTTGGACTGCCTTTATAGCATAGTAAAGTTCTTAACTTTTTCAAATATAGTCGAATGAATGCAAACTTTTATATTAAAGTTGTAGTACTCGAAGATATCTACAACTTTACAATTGACTAATTTTCATTTGAAACCATTTAAGGCCTGAAAATTTTGTATTAATTTTTAATAATTTGAAATTGGATTTATTTATTTATTCAAATGACTTTGGATGGAGAAATGACCTAAACAAAAGTTGTAGTACTCAAAGAGATCTAAAACTTTGAAGTTGACAATATTTTCATTTGAAAGCATTTAGAGCAGGACATTCTTATTTCATTTTTCTTAATTTGAAATTCAATTTTTTTTCAAATGTTTTCTAATGATAACGGATGGAAAAAATGATACAAACCAAAATTGAAGTACTCAAAGAGATCTCCAACTTTATAGTTAACTACCTTCATTATACTTTGAACCATTGAGGTCCTAAAAAATTCTTTTTTAAGTTTTCAGCATTTGAAATTCATCTTTTGATTTTTTTTTTCAAATAACATTGGATTGAGGATCAACCTAAACTAAAGTTGTTGTACTCTAAGAGAACCTAGAATTTTTTTAGTTGACTACTTTTCATCTTAAATTGGTAGGGCCCCAAATTTATGTTTTAAGTTTTTAGATTTTCAAATTTATTTTGTTTAATTTTTCAAATGATCTTGGGCGGAGAAACAACCTAAACTAGAGTTATAGTACTCAGAAGAGATAAAACTTTTAAGTTCAAACTTTTTTTCATTTAAAATTTTTAGTGTGTCCAATATTTACTATAATATATGCTATAGTAAATACAAACTAATTATATCAATCACTTAGTCTGAAGTAAAAGTGGAGTGGTAAGGAAGAAAAACGCAAGAGCCGAGGTTGTGAGTTTGATCCCCACGGCCGCAAATGTGTGTATTTTGCACGACACATGGCTGTCGGCAGTTGCCTTGTTGGCTTCTCCTACGGTAAATAAATCTTGCTATTGTTTATCCGATTTGCAAATTCCGTAAACAATTTATAGAGGCGGTTGGATTTCATCCTGCCTCTAGAAATTGATCTCTAGGGGCGGTTAGGTTTTGGCCGGGATTTCTAGAGACAGTTGATAGTTGCCTAGAGATGGGTGGAATAGTCGTCTCTATGAACCCATTCTACCCACCGCTAAAAATAGTTTATATAGTAGTATTTTTCTTTGAACTAATAGATCCAAATAGAGCCTAATATGTATGTACTATCTTTATTGTAAATTATAAGTAGTCATGTGGTTTTTCTAGATATATTGTTAATATGACATATCTAAATATAATATATATATCTAAGTCATAGCAAAAACTATGTGTATAAAAAAACTAGAACGACTTATAATTTGAAGGGAGGAAGTACCACTCACATTGACATATGAGCACACGCACTAACACGCACCTTACCTTGTCTTCATTAGTTTAATAAACTATTATGTCAAATTCATATGTTAGTTCAAAAAAGGACTGTAAGTAGTGTGACCACATCTCAGTCAGTGTCATAGTCACTTCAATGATTCAATCCATATATATATTTCTCTTGTTTCTAAAAATAAAGAAAATGATGTATTTTACTCGTATTGTCTACTGTTCCCTCCGTTCCAAATTATAAGAGATTTTGGTTTATATATATATATATAGCTTTTACTATATATCTAAATATATATATATAGCTTTTACTATATATCTAAATATATATATATATAGCTTTTACTATATATCTAAATGCATAGTAAAAGCTATGAATCTAAAGAAGTCAAAACGTCTTCTAATTTAGAATAGATGGCCTAGGTTGCACTGATGGATTACAATAAGCTCTTTAGTTGTCTATTTATATTACTATCTATAGTAGTGACGTGCTCAAGACAAAGGCAATCGTTTTCAATTAGTCAGTTGTTCCACGTACGGAAAGTTTACTTTAGTATAGCATGGGAGACAGTGGCGGGGGGGGTTTGAGAGAGAGAGAGTTTCAGTTAGTCACTTGTGCACCTCTAAAGCAAAATTCTAAAAGGCGTGTGTGAGGCAGAGGTGAAAACAATCAAAAAAAACCTATCTGATTTTCACATTTATATTTATATCTGAAAAATCTAAAAGGAAGTTCGTAAACATGAGCGACATATGATTCATTGATATAGGAAACGAACTAATATGAACATGAACACCTTGACAATGATCCGAAATAAAAACATTACATAACACTAACCCATAGAACCAAGAATGATAACTTCAATTCTCGACTCAACCAACCATAGTTCATTGTTCACCCTCACATATAACTCAGAAACAAGTATAAAAGCAAATGCAAACGCACACTCATGCGGACACAATTTACTACTCTCCCCGTTCTATTATAAGGGCAGCCAATGCTAAAAACCACGTGTAATATTTCTATATATAAAACTATGTTACCAATAGATAGTTCTATAGAATAATTTTATGTCCAATCACATGTCTTATTTATCTATCTCTCTATTACATCTCTTCATATCTTGGTTCTCGTGTAGACATGGTTTCTTATCGAAGAAACCATTTTCTCATCTCTCGTCTTTAACTGTAGTGCCACATTATTTAGTTGACACTTTAATTAATGAACAGAGAAACCATCTATTGTTATGATTGGAATGGTCTAAGACGTTTTGGATTTTCTAGATATATAGCTTTTGTTATGCATTTAAATATATTATACTAGATACATAATAAAAAGGTCAAAAGTTCTTATAATTTGGAATGGAGAGAGTATTTAAGGTGCAACTCCCTCTAAAAACAAATTCAAGAAATCTAACAATATACGGTGAAAAATTGCATATCCCAACAAAAAAGTGGGAAATGCAAAAAAAAGTCTAAAAACACTAAACTATTTTTGTCACATTTTAATATCCATCCAAATACCAAGGTCACTTCTTCGTTCTTTCAATATTCTCTCTAGAATATAAAAATAGCATGGGATGAGATTTCCCTCAGTTCATCCCAGTGTAGAGTGTGGGAGCTGCTACCAGCCTAGCAACATAGTCCACATAGCTCCATAAGCTAAAGACATATGCATACCTATGTAGCACATATTCTTAGCACTTGTTTGAATACACTATATTTAAATCGATGTATGTGTTCGAGTAGATTGATATAAAAATTAGTTAATCTTTCACTCTAATTCACTCCATATACATACGGATCGAGGTAAACACGTGTGCATCTAAATAAGGTCTTAGTTGATTTAAGTTTAGCATGTTACAGTTAATATATACAGTTACTTGACCTCCGACTTTACCATCACTTATTTATAACTGGAAATAGTATCATAAGACTTGTAAAGATTGAAGATTTCGCTTGACGGCAGTCAAGCCAACACGACGGCTTTGACCCTTTTCGTCGAATGGCTTCCAAGCACTTTTCTTACTTCGCGCGCCGCCGTCGTGCGACAGCCGTCCGCCAGTCTCCACACCCCCTAGCCGTCGACGCATGAAGAAGCCGCCATTCCCGTGCCGTGCTTCGCCGATGCGCGGCGGCAAGGGACTTCCCTGTCCAAGGCGCGGGAATGCGCGGGCTGCTGCCACGAGATGAGCTCGGTTCGGCAGAGATGCCGCCAGGATCGAGCTCCTTCCGTGCGTTCGGTCTTGGTGGCGCCCTTTATATCCATCAGTGACACCAGGGTAACGAAACAATGTTCTATTTGTCCTATGTAGTGCGACTTCAGATTCAGGTTAGGTTTACATTTCTTGATATAGATAGGATTTTTTTTCGGGCTATCTGCCTGATTGTGAGACATTGCAGGTATTAGGTAGTTGTTTGGCAAGGCTCTTAAAAGTTCATGGAAAGGCCACTAAAATACAATGTCAAAAGTATCTCTTCTCAAAAAGAAGCATGCAGATATTTGTATCCGCATGACAGTAATCCTTAAAATTGTAAGATTGTAAACTGAATTAATTCATTACATCTCAATCACCTTGTTGAAAATATATTTGTTTTTTTGGAGGTTTAAATTCTGGTATGGAATTAAAAATCTTTACCAGACAAATCAAAACGCAACATATTTGGTTATTTTAGTTAGATTCAGATCCTTCAGTTCAATCTATTCTTACACATCTGTGTGGTATATTTAGTATGACTTGTTCTCACTAGTTCATATTGCAGGCGGTTGCGGGGCTTGTGTTGTCCTTATAGCAAAGTATAACCCAAAGACGGATGAAGTGACTGAATTTACTGCAAGTTCATGCCTGACACTTCTTTACACTATAAATTTCTGTTCGGTTATCACTACTGAAGGTCTGGGGAATAGCCAAGATGGCTTTCATGCTGTTCAGGAAAGGATGTCTGGGTTTCATGCCTCTCAGTGTGGCTTCTGCACTCCTGGAATGTGCATGTCTATTTTCACTTCCCTTATCAATGCTGACAAATCCAAGAGGCCTGAACCACCAAAGGGGTTCTCAAAACTTAAAGTGTCAGAAGCAAAAAAGGCTTTCTCTGGCAACTTGTGCAGATGCACTGGTTACCGTCCAATTGTTGATGCCTGCAAAAGTTTTGCATCAGATGTTGACTTGGAGGATTTGGGCCTTAATATATTCTGGAAGAAAGGTGATAGGAACCCAGATGTTAGTGAATTGCCAAGTTACACCCTTGGTGGCGGAGTCTGCACCTTCCCAGACTTTCTAAAAACTGAGCTAAAATCTTCGCTTGATCATCTGAATAATCCTTGTATTGCAGCCTCCAGGGAGGGTTGGTATCATCCGAGAAGTATCAAAGAATATTATGAGTTAATAAATTCTTGTCTATTTAGTGACTCAGTCAAAGTGGTTGTTGGGAATACTAGCAGTGGTGTACCAGGATACAAGGATCAAGACCTCTATAGTAAGTATATTGACATAGGAGGCATTCCTGAACTTTCAAATATTGTAAGGAGGGAGTCTGGCTTTGAAATTGGAGCAGCTACATCAATCTCTAGAACCATTGAGATACTTGAGGAAGAATGTGAATCTATATCCTCTCCAAATGGGAGTGTGGTTTTCAGAAAACTTGCGAACCATATGAGCAAAGTTGCTACACCTTTCGTTCGTAACACAGCTAGTATTGGAGGAAACATAGTTTTGGCACAAAGATTCCCATTTCCATCAGATATTGCAACCATACTCCTCGGTGCTGGTGTAACTGTTTGTCTTCAGGTAGTTGCAGAACGGAGACAAATTACTTTGGAAGAGTTCCTAGAGCAGCCTCCTATAGATTCTACTACTTTACTCCTGAGCATATTTATTCCACACTGGATTCCAGATTCTGGGACAAACACAAGTTTGTTATTTGAAACTTACAGAGCAGCGCCTCGTCCTCTTGGCAATGCTGTTTCATATGTAAATTGTGCTTTCTTGGGGCATGCTTCTGTGGATGAACAATCAGATAGTCTTGTTTTGAGTAATCTGCGGTTGGCTTTTGGTGCATATGGAACAGAACATGCTATTAGAGCAAAGAAGGTGGAGGAATTCCTTACTGGTAAATCACTCACTGCATCGGTTGTACTTGGTGCAATTCAATTACTTAGAGAAACGGTTGTACCAATGGAGGGAACATCACATCCTGAATATAGAGTCAGTGCAGCTGTTGGATATCTCTTCAGTTTCCTATCTCCGCTTTCTAAAGGCATCCCAGAGCCTGGAAAGTCTCTGGCCAGTAGTTCTGCTGATTCAGCAGATACAGATGATGTCTGCAATCTGCCATTATCAACGCGATAGAGAAACATTTTCCAGTGACGATTATAAACCAGTTGGTGAACCGATTAAGAAGTATGGTGTTGAACTTCAAGCTTCTGGTATGTGGTTACATTAGAATTTTTAGTAGTGTTGTCAACATATTCTCCAGAATCTTTTTGCAGAGCAAGATTTGATGTTTCTATTGTGTAATACAGGGGAGGCAGTATATGTGGATGATATTCCTGCTCCAAAGAATTGCCTCTATGGAGAATTTATTTACAGCACACAACCCCTTGCTTATGTCAAAAGTATAAAATTCAAGTCTTCTTTAGCATCAGAGAAGATCATCTCTTTTGTTTCTGCAAAGGATATTCCAAGTGGAGGACAAAATATTGGATCATCCTTCTTGTTTGGTGACGAACCACTATTTGGTGATCCGATTGCTGAGTATGCTGGTCAAGCTCTTGGCATTGTGGTACTTACCCTTTCATGTTTGTATTATAACCACTCACAGGAATTGTTGCTCTCTTGAAAATCTCTTTGATAAAAGACAATTATGAATATTAATGACCATAACCAGTATTGCTAAATCATTACCTCTACCTCAGATTGCAGAAACACAAAGGTATGCTGACATGGCAGCCAAGCAGGTTATTATTGAATATGACACAGAAGATTTGAGCCCACCGATCATAACTCATGGAGAGCAAGCAGTGGAAAAGAGTAGCTACTTTGATGTCCCCCCAGAATTGTATCCTAAAGAAGTTGGTGATGTTTCCAAGGGCATGGCAGAAGCTGATCACAAGATCCCATCAACAGAAGTATTTTAGTTCAACAACTTTCCAGAATCGTTAATAATTTCATTTCACTTGCATCATAAAATAATGTAGGGAAATTAAAGCATGCAGTTCTATGTGCTCCAAAATTTAATTTTTCATCCTGTGTAGAGTCAGCTTTGAACTACACTGTACATACTGTTGCATTAATACATCAATAGTCAAAGAAACCTTATCATTTGAGAAGCCAAACGTTGAGATAATCCGCCTGAGTTGAATACTACGAAACCACTACTTCTGAAAGTTCGGATTACTGAGTCACTTTTGTAATGGTTACTTCAAAGTAATTGCTAACAGTAGCTACTTCGAAGTTAAGATTGAAGTAACAATTACTAATAGTAATTCTCTGTTTTGTTTTGAGGTGATCGAGGTGTAGAACAGTACTTGTGTTAGATTAATAACCAACTGTCGTGTTATATGTACTGCTTGCAATCCCATGAAATTGATCTGCACACTGGAGTTGCAATGCTTGTACAGCAGTACACCCCACCAACCAAACTACCAAAGTTATTTCCTGCTTGATGATTTTGATCTTTTGAGTCTTGATATGTGACTTTAGCCATTACTTTAACTTTATGTAAAGTTAAATCACTAGAATTTATCAATAGTGTAATGTTGGTGACTATTTTTATTTGTCACATTTTTTTTTCGAAAGGTGGCAAAAGTTTTGCCGCTAGTTTTATTAGGAAGAGAAAAATAAAAACAAGTGCGAGCCCAGTTGTTTTAGTGAAACTGGGTCCAGAAATCACATGACTAATGACACATTTAGTGACTCATTTTTTTTGGTATATCCAACTTTGACTAGAAATATATACATGTTAAAAAATTTGGGATGTTTCACATAGATAATAAAGCGTCAATTACAGTGTAAGTTTAAAATATAGAAGTTTGAAATTGCATAGTAAGACCCATCAATGTACTTTTCACTAGTACCTATCCTACTTCCCTTTTCATGGAAGCTAAGTGAGGATATCTCATGTAGTTTTGATGACTGCAGGTAAAACTTGCCTCTGAGTACCACTTCTACATGGAAACACAGACAGCACTAGCAGTTCCAGATGAGGATAAAACTTTGGTAGTCTACAGTTCGTCACAGTATCCTGAACTTGCACAAAGTGTCATAGCAAGGTGCCTAGGTATTCCATTCAGCAATGTGCGTGTCATTACAAGAAGGGTTGGAGGAGGCTTCGGTGGAAAGGCATTCAGATCATTCCAAGTGAGAATAAACAAAACTAGATCCTAATAACTAAAATCTTCCATTTTATGAAAATTAATTATTTTTAAAAAAATCTTTACCCTGGAGTATAATTTATTGTACTTTTATATCTTTTTTAACTTGTGATGAGGTCATTGCATGTTTAGACCAGGACCAGTGCTTCAGTTAAGAGCTTTTTCCTGACTTGCAAACTGGAAAGGACATCCAAAGTTTACATTTATAGTACAGATGAAAAAGTTATTATTCTGTTTTCTATATAGACAGTTTTAAACTTTAAAAATTGTTACATGCAATATTTTTTCTACTTTGTTAACTGCGTTGTTTGTGGAAAATAAATGTTGTATTGATAGTTTGTAGTATGAGGTTTGGTTATGTAGGAATCATGTTTTCCGAGGAAAGCCATTTAGGCCTAATGGACAATATATTCATTTAAACATGCACTTTTACACCAAGCAAATGCATCTAACTCAGACGCTTTTATTTGGGCTTCACAATAGAAAAACCCTAGCCCAAAATCAAATTAAGTCTCAGTGTCCTTTAGAAGATCTCTAGCAACTATTTTAGACTTAAGTTGACATATTTGATATTTCCATCTGTGGTGATTGCATATGACCATCTGCTAACAATATCATGAAAACATAAAGACCTAGTATACATTACCATCTGTTTCTTACATATGGTACATGCTTGTGCAGGTTGCAACGGCAGCTGCACTTTGTGCGTACAAGTTACGACGTCCTGTACGAATGTACCTTAATCGCAACACTGATATGGTTATGATTGGTGGTAGGCACCCAGTGAAAGCTCATTATTCTGTCGGATTCAATTCTGATGGGAAAATTACAGCCTTGCATCTAGATTTATTAATTAACGCTGGGATATCTCCAGATGCAAGCCCCTATATACCAGGCTATATTATATCTAGTATCAAGAAGTACAATTGGGGTGCTCTGTCATTTGACATCAAGCTCTGCAAAACAAATAATTCATCTAAATCTGTAATGCGTGCTCCTGGAGATGCACAAGGCTCTCTAATTGCAGATGCTGTAATTGAGCATGTTGCGTCTGTCCTGTCCGTGGATGCTAACAGCGTGAGGGAAAAGAATTTTCACACCTATTGTACTCTTCAGTTGTTCTACCCAGACAGTGCGGGCGAAGCTTCTACGTACACATTGCATTCTATTTTTGATAGGTTGGTCTCAACTTCAAGCTACCTGGATCGAGCTGAATCCATAAAGGAATTTAACAGTAACAACAAGTGGCGGAAACGGGGCATCTCTTGTGTGCCCCTCATTTTTAATGTAGAGCCAAGGGCGGCCCCAGGAAGGGTTTCTGTGCTCAATGATGGCTCCATAGTGGTGGAGGTTGGTGGAATTGAAATCGGGCAAGGTCTGTGGACAAAAGTACAGCAGATGACTGCCTTTGCTCTGGGAAAATTATGGCCTGATGGAGGTGAAAGTCTTCTTGAGAGAGTGCGTGTTCTACAGGCTGACACCTTGAACTTAATACAAGGTGGACTTACTTCTAGCAGCACTTCTTCTGAATCTAGTTGTGCAGCCACCCTTCAGGCATGCAATATGCTGTTTGACAGATTAAAGCCAGTCTTGGATAGGCTGCAGCAGCAATCAGAAAATGTCTCATGGGATACTTTGATTTCTCAGGCAAGTTTATCCTCCTCTAGTTTGTGCTCATGCTTTGTACAATACTAGCAGCAATCAGAAAACATCCTGTAATGTTTCCACGCAGGCCTCTAATGATAATGTTAATTTATCTGCAAGTGCGTACTGGGTACCTGGCCAAGTTTCTAATAAGTACCTTAACTATGGAGCTGGTATAAGTGAGGTGCGCCAAAATTCTCAAGACTAATATACAACAGTGCAGTTAAATCATGTTTAGATGTCTTATAGGTGGTACTCTTTCTATTCAAAATCTTCTAAAAAGTGCAGGTGGAGATTGATCTTCTTACAGGAGCCATTACTTTAATAAGGGGCGATCTTGTGTATGACTGTGGGAGGAGCTTGAACCCTGCAGTAGACTTAGGACAGGTTTGCTGTCGATCCTTTTATGCTTCCTGTCTTAACCAATTTTAATTTTGAATGTAGTTCATTTGATTTATAGAGTATAGACCATAGTTTTGGAATGGATGAGGTTAATATAATTTAAGTACATCAGAAATATGAAGCACATTTTCTGTTAATTGTTTGATATATATTAGAGGGTTAACTTGCTGGGTGGCATTTTCAAATGAAAATGGGTTAACTGCTGGGAATTTAATTTTATATCTGGAAACATTCAATTTATTGCAGGTATAGTTTTGAGATGTTGCATGTTTCTTTTTGTCCTCGAACTACGTATCTTTAAAGAGAAATTATAGACCCTTACAACACAATCCCCATAATCTCAGTTAAGAGGGCGATGCGAAAAGAGAACAAAAAGTGATCACCTGATACAAAATGACTGAATGTTGTATGTTTTTATATTTTGCATCATTCAGTCTTGGCGACATTTGCAAACACTGTATCTTCCTGACTAGTAATGTGATAGATATGCTAACAATGAGATGCAACTAACTGATAGAACTAACGTTGAGCTATTTGGCCATTTCCCTTGTCAAGACTCAAGAGTTTACTCTGCTCTGTTGTGCTCCATACCGATCTCTTGAACATATAAGTACAGCTAAATACTGGCACAGGTTTTGCAATATAGCAACTGCCTTATTGGGCTCTTGTGCATAAATTTGATGGCACCATATCTTATCCATGGAATTTTTTTTGCAGATTGAAGGTTCCTTTATACAGGGAATTGGTTTTTTCGTATATGAAGAGTATATTACGAACAGTGATGGCCTGATGATTAGCAACAGCACATGGGACTACAAGATCCCAACTGTCGACATAATCCCAAAGCAGTTCAATGCTGAGGTGCTGAACACTGGATACCATAAGAACCGTGTGCTTTCTTCAAAAGGTAGTCACATTTGTTACTTCCTCATTGCAGTGTAGATTGAAATAGGCTTGGTAGATACCAATCAATTTGTACTGTTTCTTCCAGCTTCTGGTGAACCTGCCTTGGTTCTTGCCTCATCCGTTCATTGTGCACTGAGAGAAGCTATCCGGGCAGCAAGATTAGAGTTTGCAATCAGTACTGTATCTGGACGCTCACCGCTGGAATTTCAGATGGATGTCCCTGCACCAATGACACTGGTGAAAGAACTGTGTGGTTTAGATATTGTGGAGAAGTACTTAGAATGTCTATCTACCTGTGAACGTGCGGCTGGGGCGTAATCTAAAGTCATATGTTATCGCATAATAAAAAGGACTGGCATCAGCCTATTGTTTGTTGTTTACAAGAAAACATGCGCGTGTCGAGTGTGTGTGGATGAGCGCACAATATATGAATGCTTTCAGCCATCTGTATTCATGAACCCTTATTAAAACTACTGCAAGTGGTTATGTTAAGTAATTTATTGTTATGAAGTTTGAGTGCCGGTCAATTTTATAAAATATTTCCCTGTAGCTTAGTCAAAAAAGCCTGAGAACCGGAACCGTTTTATTTGAATGGACATTTCATGATTTATCTATCTATCCATACTCTAAAGGAGTGAAGGAATTGGAAAACACTTGTTACCTTAAAAACGTCCTACCCATAAGATCTCCACCTTCGTCCTACCCATCTAAGATCTCCACCTTTAGATTTACATTTAACGCATATGATTATTAGTTAACTGTGGGCAACACACGTTTTCCCTCACGAAACGAGCACCTCCGATCCAAGTTTTTTCACCGCAAAACTTTCTTCACCCGCGTACCCGCGCCCTCGCACCCTACCCGCCCGCCGTACCCGCTCAGCGGTTCGGCTTCTGCCGTTTCCCATCCCCTCCAGATCTGCGACGCGACTCCAACCGCTTCCCTCCCTCCCACTCGTGACTCCTCCCACGACGTACGCCAGGACGGGATGCCGGCCACCAGGCACGACCACATGCCACCAGGGCCGGCCGCCGGCCACTGGCCACGAGGCACGGCTGCTGGCCACTAGGCACGGCGTTGCCCACCAGGCACGGCTGCCGGCCACCATGGCCAGGCCACCGGCCATCAGGAACGCTAGGGCCTGCCTCCGGCCAATCCGTTGCGGCGGGGGCCTCCGAGCCGCCGCATCAGGCGGTTACTCCCACCGTGGTTGTGTCGGTCGCCCCCGCGGCGGAGGAGCCCAGGGGCTCGGGGCGGAGGCGGCCATGACGCGAGTTAGACTTCGAAGTGCGCCCCGCGCTCGCCGTCTCCGAGTCGGACCACGCAGTGCTCGTCGACGCGGACTCCGACCAGATCCGCGCGGCCAAACTCATCAGCCTCGGGGCCGTCGCCGGGTACGTGCTGCTGGCGGGCGGGAACGTGCGCCGTGGTGAGCGAGCCGGAGTCCTGGGCGATGCTGGCCACGGCGGCCGTCGAGATGGTGCAAAATATTTGAGGAAGTTCAGCAAAAGGTGACTCATCGTCATCCTCAACCTCTCAACCTCTACTACTACTACCGGTTCCGTCCTGCCTTTTTCGTATTTGATTGATGTTTCTTCTCCATCTTCATGAGTTTGCAGGGCAAAGTGATGCATGCTAGAGATGATGTACCCCCAATCCCCCATGGGGTCAACGAATTTTTGGATGCCAGGTCCAATGACCCTAACTTTACCTTCTGTTTGTTATTTTCAGTCCTCCAGATACTTTCCCTTTCGATTACCAACCACTAGATTATTCATCCTTACAGAACTCCCCCCCTCAAATCTTATAGCAATATAGTAGTTGAAAATTGTCAGCCCTTGCAATCATTCTCTGCGATTGAAGATCTATGTTTTGATCTAGAGATGCATCCAGGTTCGCTCTGTTCCCACCTCCCACTGTGAAATGTTCTGATTATTAACTAAAATAAAACTCATCAGTGTTTGAATTGGTTCAACCTTTTGTTTTCTTTTACTGCAATGTATGGTTATATCTTAACGGGTGTCTTCTATCTCTATTCATCTCCTATTCCAGGTTTTTGCTTTGTCACTTGCAGTAAATTTCAGTTTCTTCCTCTTATTTTTTTTGTGTAGGAGAGGGGTTCCTCGAAGGCATGCTGTTGGATAGATGGCTTCTGAATTTGGTTCGCATATGTGGTTTTGTTGAAGACTATAGCATCGTGGACACTGACCAACTGTAAGTATTGGTTTCTGTACTCTGTTTAGACCGGTGATCTGTTCTCTCATTATGCTATATCCTTATGCCACTACATGTCAGTGTTGCATTCATCCAATGAGAGGTTACAAGTTTCTGCAGCCGACTTTTGGGAAGCTCATGTTTACATAAAATATTGTGCAGTGACTTGCATATCTACTTTGCTGTGATTACCGTATAGTTAGTTCAACGATCAGCTTTTACTAGCTCCTTGACAGACACCGAGCAAGTGTGCCTCTCGGCATGCCGGCGCTGCCACTCAAGAGCCTGGTGAGCCTCGGGGACCTGCTGGGCTTTGACACTCCTGAGTTGGAAGCCATCACAGCAATGAGAGGCATGTCAGGCAGTAGCAGTTCATGAAAATGGCATGTCACACATATGTGAAACCCCCTTGGAATCTGATGTTTCTGCTGTAATAGCAACTCTGTATCATTTCTTTTTTGTGTGAAACTTAAATCCCATTTTATTCTTCACTATGGAAACACATATCTTATTTTTCTTGTTTTCGTGTGCGTGCTTGAAATATTGCCGTAGCGTGCTCTGTTATGCATTATTTTTTGTTTTTTTTATCTGCAGTAGATTTTTGTAGAAAAAAAATTGGTAAAATGGGAGTTCTTCAGCCAGACTTCTCTGGATCTAAAAAATGTACTTCCAGTTTTAGAGACCCTCTTTTTAGCCTGTGCCTAATCTTAATTTTTTTTGTTGCTACTGTATTCAGCTGGACTTGTGTAGTTTTGCATCTTTCTTACCTGTACATGTAATTGTATATAATAACTAAATTATTTCAACAATCTTATTTTGACAGCTACCTAACTACCTATTTCAACAAATAATATTAACTCAGGAAGCATCTTCAACCAAATTGCAGCATATTGCATTGTTGACACTGAGCCGTCATTCAATCCATTTGCAGAATTCTAGATAAGTGAGCCTTGTGGCCTGAGGATGTTTGTTTCTTAAGTGATGAAAAATCAGTAAAAAGATATTCAAGTGTATTTTTGTTCACTAGACTTTTCATAGTAGATTGATAGGTTTCTGTTTGTGTGTTTTGAAGGTGGTGGTGAGCGCAGCCGAGTTTCTCAAGCGCAACGGCGTAAGCCTTGGTGAGCCCGCTGCTCTTGCTTCATATTACCTTGTCCACCTTCTCTCAGTCCTTCCCGTTTTGATTATTCATTTACTGCAGTCTGTTAATGTTTTAAGAAGAACATTATCGATCTTGTAAGCTGAAAATAATCAGCGCCAGACACCAGCGTCGCCATGTGCGTGGAGCCCGGATGTCGTCTCCTCCCGTCCCACCGCCATCGTAAGGTCTTCACTATGAGTGCAGGGTTGAGATGGCTCATACGCACATGTTGATCGCCTCGTGGTGCCCACCTTCCCCTCTGCTATGTTGAGGTATGTGAACCCCCCTGCGCTTGCCTCGACTAAGTTCTTTTCTCAAACAATTACATCTGTAGAATTTGATCTTCTGTATCAAAATTTTTCCATTAATCCTTGACGCTTTTGATGCTTGTAGATCTACTAGAATTTATTTTAGTGTGGGCAATTTCTGTTTTGTTTATGTTCAGTGTTGAGCAGTAGATGCTTTGTTTATATATGTTCTCTATATGAGCAGGATTAACCATTAATTAGGAGGAGCCAAGGAGGCAAACATATATGTGACATTTGTCCTGCATAATTAAATGATATCATCTTCATGTAATTCTATTTTGGAACTTAATTAATAGTAACTCCACTAAGTTTTTTTTATCAGATTTGCAATCAGTAGTTATGATTGTTGCCTCTGGTGTAGCTACTCCAGATCTGCTTAGATGGGTTGCTCAGTATGGAATTACATTTTTGAACTACTTTTTAAGTAGAATGGTGTCCTTGTCACCTTTGTTGGGGTTGTAATTCTGGACTGCAGGTACGAAAATGAACCTGTCATTGAGTTCTCAAAGCTAAATGCTATGAATTAACAGATTACCATATTGTGTTTTTTCTCTCATTTGATGCCCCTACTGACTAATGTTGCTCACCTTGATGCTGGCGCAAAGCGGTTGATCGGTTGGAGGTTCTCTAAACCGTTCGTGCAGAGTGATAGGAAGCTATAGTAGTTCAATGTCATGGCTGGCCCTGGGGAAAAGCCGATGAACGTGATCAACTACAAGGGCGAGGAAAAGCAAATTATCTACCAAGATGAAGGATATCGTTGAGGCCCCAAGTTATTTAATTGTATTAAGATGAGCATCATTTATTAAAGTTTTAATTCTTACGCTCTATTTTGAATAATTGTTTTATATTGATATATATTTCAAACAATATATATGGATATATGTTTATGAATAGAGTCGAATCATATTCAAACTGAAAAAACAAGACAAAACACTGTTTTGGCTGATTTGTTGTGAGAGAAAAACATTGTTCCGGCTAAAAAAAGAAGCTGAAAAGTACGGATTATAAGAGAAGCGAAGAGGGTCTATGTATCAAAAAGTTTTCATAGCACGGTCACACGTGTATGTCTACTAGTAGCATTAAAGGGATTAGTTCACATAATATATCTATTTAGTGTTGTATTAAGGTTGGCATTGCCTTGTTAGTTTTGATGTTATTATGGCTGCTAGCATTAATATTAATATTAATAATCTGAAAAATTGTTAATAGTTTGATAGGATTTAAGGTACTGTTTGGTTTGAGCCTGGGAGCTGTAATGGCAATGTAATCAGGAAGCGGCACTATCTGTTACAGCTTAAGAGAAATGTGGCCGTGGCTCCACTTAGCGTGATCTGATAACAGGAGATCGAGGAGCGGTATCGGTGTTGAACTAACCCATATCAGGTCCCTCCGTCATCGACCCCGAGCTAGCCAAACCAAACAAGAGTAATGCGATCTGATATCACCTTGAATGGTTCCGGGTCCAAAAACACCGAACAAAACACCACTTGAGTTCTAAACATATAAAGATTTCATTCTATTATATCAGGTATGCAAGTTCCTCATCCACCACTGTTTTAGGAATTCATCCTAGATATATGTCATTCCAGCTGATTATACTGTGCGTGATACATCAAATTACTCGTCGGTGGTAAAAAAAAACAATGTATACTCCACCAAATGATATGGTAAACAATGTCGGATAAGTCCAGTAATGAGGGACTAGTGTTGGTGAGTAAAGGAACGTCGACAAGGTAATATACCTCACTGGATGATATGGTGCACCAAAGGGCAAACAAGTTTAAAAAAAAAAAATCAAAGGGTACTTGGGGTGGATGCACTATATATATGGGTTTCTACTCACTTTCCTAATGGTATTAGAGTGCTTTGAGCCTACTTGAAGCTAGAGCAATGGTATCCACACTCCATCCAACCTCTCAAGTGTATAAAGATCACATCCAAGGCCAGGATAGACCTCACTTTTCATCTCTGTGAGGGTTAGGCTTTAGTGTTTTAGAGCTTTGAGAGATTATACATTGTGCCCTTGTAACTTGGTAAGCCAAAGTACTACAGGGCTTAGTGACCTTCCATTGAGAGCCTTGATGGCCTTCCAGACATCAACCCTCCAAGCTTGGTGTGTTCGGGCAACATGACAACTTGGTGTGCGGGAGACGAGGATACCCCTTCCTTGGTGGATAAGCTATGTAGTGGATGGCACCTTAGTGATTGAGAAAGTCTAGCGAATAGTCTTGAGCCTTATTAGTGGCTTACGACACTTGTCTTGGTTGGCGATGGCCTTTGTCGTCGCTTGTCAAAACTGTGGACAGGGTAAGGCTTCATGATTAGGAGTATATCCTTTGTGGAGCTCTAACATGGACTAGGGATTGTGTTTTGGGAGCTGATACTATGGAATAAATCTTCTTCTTTAGATTTTGCCCACTCATGACTTGATTTTTACCTTACCCATTTAAGCTTCTACATTATGCTTGTCTTATGTGACCTTTACCTAGATTAGCAAAGGCTAGCTTATATGTTTAACTTTTCATTGCAAAACTCTTTGTAGGTTTGTTTAGGTATAGCACAATAGAAAATTTAAGGTGAACATCATACTATAGTAGTTTATGGTTTTTCTAGTGTAGATGAAGTTTGTGCCTATGTTTATGTTCTAATTGACCTAATTCACCCCCTTTGGCTCACATGCCCCTACAAGTGGTATTAGAGCCAGGGTTCACACCTTTCACAAGGCTAAGCCAATTTCATTGTCAAATTTGTGAAACCAGGTCATTGGTCCCATAGGCTTCACTGCCTAGTGAATTTTATTATTGGGAGTGGGAATGAATACCGATAGGACTCCACATTTTCATGGTTTTTCCTTAATGGAAGGTGATGTTGGAAGCACACCTTCAAGCTAAGGAGGTTAATGTTTGGTGTGTCACCAATTAGGGTATGAAGAATGATACTAAGATAGAGAGACAATGGGATTCTATTACTAAATCTACCTTATCGTCTTCTCTTTATCATAGTGTCTTTAGTCATGTTTTTTCTTGCAAAAATCCCAACAACTTTGGAAGTTTGCCAATGAGAACCATGGAGGAAAAAAGGATGTGGAAAATGAAAAGTATCATGTTATTGTTGATAAGCTCATCAATTTCCAGGAAAATAACCTGTAATGCACATGATAATTTTCTCATGCCCAATGTGCTTGTTAATGAAATTAATGACATAGGTGTTAAGACAATTGATGATGGAGAGGATGCCTAGAAGAACATTTACTCTCTTCAAAGAGTGGACTACAACTTGGTCATCTCCATCCTCCATGAGAAAAGACCTGATGAGATGACCCCAACCAAGTACTCAACAAGATCATCTCTCAACAAGATATGTGGCAGAACCGCCTAATCTAATGCCTCCTAGGAGTGCTCGTCTTCCATTAGACACTAAGCACCCAAGGGAGAACACCAAATTACTCGGTTCCGTCGGGCACACCCCAGGGGAGAACCCGAAAATCCATATTTTTCCATCAGGATCACAAATGAGAGAATAAAGCTTACATCGTTCTTAACCATTTCTTACATCACTTTTAATACAACATCAGAGTATAATATTTATTATGATAACAACGGAATGTAATCATATTATCAGGGTTAAGATCAATTTAATTGAATAGAGGAATATAAACATGTGATCAGGATTACAGCGGAAATAATTATCTATTCATGACATGATGATTCATTGATATGTAAACTATGACAACAGATTGTAAAACTTTCATTTATAAAAAAAACTTTTAGTGAGAGTTATAAATAAAGGCTATGATCGCAGCGTAAAAGGACCTCCTCTCTGAGCCCACCAGGAGGAATCCACACACAAAGGTCAGCTCTAGCCTCCACCTGTCACTTGCAACAGGGGGAATAAAACCCTGAGTACTCAATTGTACTCAGCAAGAC